AAAATACATGGTGCTGTGTGCTTAATATATGTGCACTTTCTGTGTGAATATTAGACTTCGATAAAAACAAAATTGAGTATGTCTCTTGTCTTAGTCTGTTTGGGCTGCTATACCGTAGACTGAGCAGCTTATAAGCACCACACATTTATTTCTCGCAGTTCTGGAGGCTGGCAAGTCCAAGGTCAAGGCACCAGGAGATTGGCTATCTGGTGAAGGCCCACTTCCTGGTTCACAGATGGCCATTTTCCTCTGTGTCCTCACATGGCAAAAGAGACAAAAGCACTCTCTCAGGCCTCTTTTAAAAGGGCACGAATCCCATTCATGGGAGCTCTGCCCTGTGACCTAATCACCTCCCAAAGGCCTACCTCCTAATACCATTACCTTGGGAGTTAGGATTTCAACATTCGGAATTGGCGGGGGACACAAACATTCAGACCATAGCATCTGTTTAGATAGCTACACAGCTGTGTAGCTGTGAAAATAAGTATTGTTTTCAAAGTCACATTTCAATTATTTCTCCACCATTAGGCCATGAGCTCCTTCAGCAGTGGGACCTGGCTTATCCGTCTTGTGCTCTCCCTTCCTCTGCACAGATATGGTGGGAAATCTTCCTACACAGTAACTTCTCCGGGTATAGTTCATTTGGCATGGCAGCTTGCATCCTAATGATCACTGTGCTTATTTATGAATCTTCTCAAACTGGTCCAAAATCTAATCAAAGCTAGAAACGGATAAAATAATGACCTATTCATACATTCTAGAATTCAGCCTGTTCCTGTTGCTTTTTTAGAAATCTGCATAATTTTCTATTGTTCACACATTCAAGGGAAACATCCCCTGCATCATGGAATACCCATCCCTGTGGTCTCCATCTCATTCTCCTTGTTTTCTCAAAGAGGATCCACATATGAGTCTATTGCTCAGGTAAGTATCTGTTGCGAGAAGATATCATCCCCTTGGCCCTGGTCTCTCAGCTCTTTTGAAGAGACTAATGTTCTCTCACTAATTCCCTGGCTGTTTGTCTGTCTTTACAGGCAGGGAAGCCAGATGCAAGGCAGGATTGGGGCAGTCCTGCATTTTCTGCATCTGGTTAACAGTTTTCTGGCCTCGTTGGCGGCTCCCAGAGCTCCTCGCTTCTTCTCCAGCACCGACTCGCAATCTTCCACGCTCCTCTGTTCCTTTGAGAACAGCCTTTTGTTCACTGACAAGAACAATCTGCAGCCTCATCAGCTCTGAGCCAACCTCCCACCACCCTCTGGGCAAAGCTCTACTCAGAAAGGACACAGGGAGAAGAGGGATGGGGGGCTGCAGATGATTGTGTCTGGTGGGGACGGGGGAGCAGTACACAGAGTCCAGACTGGGGCAACAGGCCGCCAGGTCCACACCACCCTCTGGGCTGCGTGACCTTGGGCCTATCTGGGCCTGTAACCTCGGTGCAAAGGAGACAGGCTAGAGGATTCTGAGCCCCTTCCAGCTCTAAACACGCAGACCCTGAGCATCTACATGTTGAACAAAATTGTACTGACACGTGACTCTGGATAGTGAGATATTAGGAGGTTTTCGTTTCTTATTCTCTTCTGCATTTTGTAGACAGTCAACTCTATGCTAAGATTACACTACTGATGTGTTTGTGTTTTGTGTGTGTTCGAAAGCACAAAAAGTCCGTGGTTCTAAAAAGGAAATTGAAAGATTATTTGGTTAAAAAGGGGGGCATGAAATCAATTTTAAAAAATAAAGGCAGAGAAGAAAGGCCCACCTAAACCACCTAGAGCTTAGCTGCAGGGGTTTCCCACCGCCTGGCTGCAAAGTCTTTGTTAGCTCTCTGGCGCCATCTGCTGGCCATGTCAGAAGCAAACGTTTAATTTGCTTTGCAAAAGGGCTCTGAAGCGATTCCGTGGCGAACACTGATGGGGTCACGCTGAGGCTAAAAATTGCATTCTATTTAACAGGCAAATCTTGCCCCATACCCATCTCCAGAATTCACTTTTGATTTTGCCTTGCCGTAATGATTGTGACAAGGACACCTGAGCAGTCCCTCTGTATAAGGCGCACAGTGGTCACCCAATAACCATGAGCCTCATGCCACATAAAGCCCAGATTTGTTCTCCACCCCTCCCCACCGCACTCGGACCCCATGTAGAGGGAGAACGCACTGCGAGGAACCCACTCTTGGCCCCCACCATCGGTGAACGGGGTTGGTTACATCTAGATTTCTCTCTGCTCCCTGGGATTCCACAGATCTCTAATTCACTGGGCTTTGGACTAATTCAGTCCTTCAAGCACTCCCACATGGCCCCAAGCAGCCCAAAGTGCTGGGAAGTCCTTTCGCTTATTCTTCCACCCGACATCAGTCCTGCTTTCCCACTGCCCAATGGAAGGGAGGCCCCTCACTCCGGGTGGGTCCCGCCTGTGGGGCACAATGGTCCTGGTGAAGGCTCATCCTCTTTCTTAACTGCCCCTCCCCACAGAGGCTGCCCAGGCAAAGACCCTTTGCGTGACTCTGGTCTTCAGGTGCAAGACAGTATGCAACTCCACAAGGCTTGTTGATTTCCCCTCTGTTGCAGATATTGATGGGAAAGCATTTTCCTTCTGACACTTCTTGTTCCAGTTCTCAAAATCTTTCTGAACTTCATCAAGGTCTTCACGTGGTTGTTATTAGTAGAGTGTGATGAGAAGGTCCACCCTTGTCAGGATGAAGGAGTGGCCCAGGAAGCCCTGATTGGCCCTGCTGGGGAGGGAAGGGCTGCCATATTTGGCGAGTTCAGGAATGCCACCTCCCCCGGCAGCTCCTATATAGCTGGGCAGACCTGGCTGCCGAGGGGGTGTGCTGGAGGACTGTGCAGTGCGAGGCCCCAGAGGCGCACTCCCAGGGAGAGCCTGAGGTATGTGGGGGGGCACTTCTGTGGTTAGGGTTGCTGATTTCTAATCAGATCTCTATCCCAGACTGAAAATCATGCCGTGATTTCTTTACTCCCACATCCCGGGATGGGTCCCAAGTCAGGGGAGACTTGTGAGAATGTTCAGTCGTCATTGGTCTTGCATGTCTGTATGTTGGTGCTACAATAAAATGCTACTTTAGGGGTGGCTGGTTGGGATTTTGTTTTGCTTTTAAAGCCTTGCCTATGAAAATGAATTTCTTTCTCATGAATGCTGTGCTTTTTGTTTTTTAATTTGACTCACCTGTAATGATCTATTATGTTATTATTCTTATTTAAGATTTCTCCTACCAAGAGGTATGAACTGATGACATGGGGTGTGGCCCCCTATTTAGGAGACTAATGAATGCTGGCTTCATGCTTGGATCTCTTTGGAGAAAGCCAGTCTGAGTTCACCTGTGCTTAGGGGGTAGGGGATGGGGTGCTGGTGGCCTGGGTGCTCATCCCATCCCGGGACAGAGACACAGCAATGCCCACAGCAAGGAAAAGTCAGTGAGGCCTTGTTGCAAGCTTCCTGATGGGACTGGGTGTGCTCTTAGGTCGTATTTTGCCCTTGTTTTTTTTAAACTTAAGAACAGTGTTTCTTCAGAATTGAAGATTTTAACAGAGGAACATTAATCACTTTTAAGGATGCTCCAGGGGGTGGTGGAGGGCACGTTAGGGGTTAAACAAGCTGACTTCCCACGTCTCCCAGCTCCGGCACTCCATGGGCTCACAGCAAATCTTACCTAGGAGACAGCTTAGGCGGGCTGTGCTGTGGGAACTCTCTCTGTGTCCCTGATCCACACAACGGCTCGGGTGCTGGAACGCTCTGACAATTGGCCTTGGGAGGTGGGTTTCCCCAACAGCTATTGTAGTTTCAGGAGCCAGATGTGACAGGCAACCAGGAGGGGCTGGGGGCTATTCCATGGCATCAGCAGCAGCCCTTGGGATGCCCTGGGGCCACCTTGACTCGGGACCCTCCTGGTGTTCCCCCAAGCCCTCCTGTCCTCCTGTTCAGCTCACTTTGTCTGAAATTCCTTGAGAGCCCTGCTCTTTGCTCTTTGCTTAGGAGCCTCCCACTCAGCGAGTCAAAAACACAACATTTGTACACCATCCCTTCCTGAAGCCCAGAGAGGCAGGGAGGCATGGCTGGTGGGCACATGGAGTACAGCGTCAGACAGAGCTGAATTCAAATCTGCCAGCTCCTACTGTGCAGCCTTGGGCAAATTATTTAACTTCTCTGGATTCCAGGACAGCCTTTATAAAACGGGGATAATACCCCATGTAAGAATTAAGTTAGACAATGTCAGAGGTGGGCTTAACACAGTGGCTGGCATGCAGCAAGTGTGCAATAAGAAGCTAGTAGGATGACAAGGGAGTCACACTGACCCCCGGGGTTGTAGGGGAGGGACTAGAAAGGATGCCTATAGCACATCTTGACCCCTTGACATTGGGGGCAGCAGGGGTCCCTTCACCGTATTTCTGTCTTTCTCTCTCCCTCCACCTTCCTCTGCTCTCTCATTCCTGAAAAGTCCTTTAGAATCAGCAGCCAGTGACTTTCTTAGAACAGGTGGCAGCATGTGCCCAAGACAGTGCCAGCTCAGAGCGACGTAAAATAAAGAGGGAAGATTGAAAATACAGTCTATGCCCACCAGTGTTGGATTCCAGCTCTTCCACTGTATTTTTCTCCCAGGGTCCTCTTGATTTGAAAGGCTTGGGGAGTACCAAAGAAAACCTACTTGTATTAAGTCATTACTCATTTATTTTCCCATGCATATTCAAAGGCTTTATAATTGCCAGTTGCAGCTTCTTATCTGCCTGAGAACACCAGGATCACGGCCCTGAGTGAATGTCATCCCAGGCAACAGCAAAAAAGAGAAAAAAAACTTGGTGTTCAAGTTAACCCTGCACCGCCCAAGCCTGGGAAAACAATTGTGCTTTTGAGAAAATATAAATAGCACGAGGATGCAATTCCTTGGCTTATAATTTCGCACATTATGGGAGGGGGGCTGGTGCAGGGGAGCCGGGAGGCCCCCAGGGGAAGCTCACTGTCCGTCCGTCTGTCCCGCAGATTCTGACACGATGAGGAAGCATCTGGGCGGATGGTGGCTGGCCATTGTCTTTATCCTGCTCTTTGGCCACCTCGCCGTGGTCAAGGCCAGGGGCATCAAGCACAGAATCAAGTGGAACCGGAAGGCCCTGCCGAGCACGGCGCATATCACCGAGGCCCTCGTCGCGGAGAACCGCCCGGGAACCTTCATCAAGCAGGGCCGGAAGCTGGACATCGACTTCGGGGCGGAGGGCAACAGGTACTACGAGGCCAACTACTGGCAGTTCCCCGACGGGATCCACTACGACGGCTGCTCTGACGCCAACGTGACCAAGGAGGTGTTTATGGCCAGCTGCATCAATGCCACCCAGGCGGCCAACCAGGCCGAGTTTTCCCGGGAGAAACAGGACAACAAGCTGCACCAGCGCATCCTCTGGCGGCTGACCCGGGAGCTCTGCTCCATCAAGCACTGCGATTTCTGGCTGGAACGGGGAGCGGGACTTCGGGTCTCCGAGGACCAGCCGGTGATGCTCTGCCTGCTGCTGCTGCTTTGGCTCTTGGTGAAATAAGCCCGTGGGAGCGTGTGAGCGAGCCCTGGAGAGAGCTGCCGGGTTCTGCTCCCCGGCCCCAAACCCGCACATGCGCTGAAGGTACCAAGGACGGTGATCCTGCCCCCTTCAAATGTCGCTCCCTAATATTCGCCCCATGTGTGTTTGCATTCGGTGAATGTGAATGTGTGTGTCAGTCCTCCTGCAGGCTCCACCGGCTTCTTCATCGCTGCATTCTCAGCTCCCAGTGCAGGCTCTGGCACACCATATTAGGTAACAAATATTTGATGAATTGGTAAAAGAACGCATCAGGAACTGTGCCAAGCACTTCACCATACTTCCCAACAACTCTTAGAGGTGGTGTTATTCCCGTTTTACAGATGAGGAAACTGAGGCTCGGAGAGGTGAAGTAGCTCACCCAGAGTCACACAGCTAGAAAGTGGCAGAGCTGGGATTCAAGCCAGGCTTGTCTAACCCCAGGTTTTCTGTTCTGTCCAATCCCAGAGCTGTCTCATGATCCCTTTATGGCTCTAAAGGACCTAAATCCAAACATATCTCTAAGGAAACTGTAGAAGCTCCACTTTTAGAAGTAAATGGAAAGACCTGAGCCTACAGCTGTGTGCTTTGATACCTTGTTACAGAGGTTATTTTAATCCTTCCAATTAAACTAAAATACAATAAAGAAATTAAACATAGAAATAAAGCTAGACAAAGCCCAGAAATCACATTGTAAGGAAATACTGCCAAGATGATTCCCAGAACAGACCTAATATATAGCAGGTTGTGTCTGTGGCATGAAGATTTTCTTTTTTCTTTTTTTTCTTTTTCACACAAAGGGTAAGTGTTTGTTGTTCCCATTCCTGAAATATTCCATGTATTTAAGAAAAAAAGTTTTAATGACATGTTTGCTTCTAATGTCCCCCTATCCTATGTGCACATTTTATATATGCCCATAAAACATCTATAAATATGCACCTATGTAGAGATTGTGCTCTACACAATCTCTATCAGTTCTGTTCACATCATTTCTGTAAACCGTGTATCACTACAAAAATGTAGGGTTAAAAAGAAACTGTGTCTTTAGGGAAACCCAGCAAAGAATTCATTCATGCTATAAGCAAGACTTGATATGCCACCTTATTCATTAAAGATATGTGTAACAAAATATGAATCTAATTTAAAATCAAAATAATGAATCTAATGCCCTCAGAGAA